TCTAAAGCATAAAACATGCCATATTTTGGCTTTTATTATGGCATCAAGCAGAATTTAAAGGACAAAGAAATTCTCTGTGGGCTCATTTTCAGCTCAGAATGTTGGCTGTGAGCGCTCGGTCCGCAGCATTACAGCGAGACATATATTGCATGTTATGTTCACAGCTTTGAAATGCATCCACAAGCCATAATGGATGAACTGCCAATCACACAAACAAAGCAAACATTTAAAGGGCCAATTGCATGCATGAGTCCTGATAGTATAGACAAGTTTTAACAGAGGCGTGTGATAGTTATGCTGTCATTTTCTAGGTTTATGTTAGTGCCATTTATTGATTTCATGTGGATACACAATAGATGGTTAATGATGGTTTTTCTTGTTTTGTGTCCACAGATTTGTCATATGTGGATGCCTGAGTACTATTTCTGGGTCAAAGTTTAGCCTGGTAAATTTACCCCTGCTGTTAGGAAATGGCATGTGGCAACCTTATGTGGAAAAAAAGGCTTTTATCCATTGACAGCTACTGAAAAGTAGCCAAGTATTCTAGCAAAAAAATAAATAAATTAGCAGCATATGATTTGCAACTGTCTAAGATGAATAGCAATGCTAATGGCTAATTCTCTCAAGGAGTTTTTGACATCTTTGGATGTGACAGATGAAGGATGTTTTATTTGTGTCCTGCCAAAAGACTTCACTCGGTTAGGTAAAGATGTGTCGTTATCATGACAATTGTTGGCTAGATACTAGTTTTAATCTGTCCTTCATTTCAGTCCCTGCTAATAGGTCTGCAATTGGTGTGCATTTAAGCATTTGATTTTTGTATGGGCAATAAATTCAAATTTGTTGTGCTGCGTAAAGCACCTGCTTATTGGATGACCATTGTGAGGTGAAGCCCCATTGAACATGGTCATTTTCAGCTCTTATTACCAATTGCACTTGGAAGTGCTTTAGGAAAATAAATAGTAATGTTACCATATGGTACCAAAGCTAATCAAGAATATCCTTTTAGAAATTATGCCACGGATAACACAACCTAATAAAATATCACATAAAATTAGAGAGCTTGCAAAACAGTGTTCAAAGGATTAACAGAGTACACCCAAACTGTTTTCATTTTTACAACATATTAATGTTAATGTTGTATTGCGGTCCTTGAATTTGATTGGGGAGGCAGAGTCCCAAAAGCGCAGATATGTTTCTGTCATGTGACGTTTACGGCTCATCCACGATATTTAAAGGGATAGTTCACCCAAAAATTACAATTATGTCATTAATTATTGGTCATTCCAAACGCGTAAAATCGTCGTTCCTTTTCAGAACACGAATTAAGATATTTTTGATGAAATCCGAGTGCTTTCTGACCCTGCATAATGACTTTATTCATGTGCCTCAAAGACTGACACAGAAGAGAAGAAATTATTGAATGAAGTCATTATTTTTTGGTTTCTTTGCACACAAAAAGTATTCTCGCAGCTTCATAAAATTACTGTTGAACCACTGATGCAACACTATTTTAACAATGTCTTTACTACCTCAGAAAGCTCTCGGATTTCATCAAAATATCTTAATTTGTGTTCTGAAGAAGAACCGAAGGTCTTACGTGTTTGAAAAACATGAGGGTAATTAATGACAGAATTTTCATTTTTGCATGAACTATTTCTTTAATATACCATACATGGCATGGATCATATCCGGTGATCAAGATTTTTTCTTGCAATGTTCATGTGTCACTGTATTCACTTTAAAAGTCAGGAAATTTTGTGTAAGTGAACTGTAAAAGTCACACGAACTAGGACTTTTCCTTTTTTTTACTCTGTAGTTGACATGTTCAAGATCATGTGCAATATTTTTGGGATTTTTAGAGACTCTTTCTGAAAATTACATTGTTGCACCAGTAGGTGGTGACAAGTGACTTTGTCAAGTGTCTTTATGAGTCAGTCTTTGAATCATCCACTTAAACAATTCATTCAAAACAGTATGACTGTATCCAAAGTTGTCACATACACCCTCATAGTCACCCTCTCTCTATTCCCTACATTCCTCTACTAAAATACAGTTCACTCAATGAGTAAATAAAACCTGTGAGGAAATTCGGACACTGAGAGTGCTAGAAGTGCTGCAGATGCCATCTTCTGGCATGACGTGGTAATTCATGGGTTGCTATGATACTATGTGCATGTATTCTCGAGTTGCTTGCTGTTGAGTGTACATACACACGTTATTGAGGTGCATTGTAGGATTAAATGAGTTCACTATAGATAATGTCGACTACAGTATTGGACGCCACTGCAAATGGCTATCAAAATGTGCACTACATAAGGGTACAGGGTGTGATTAATTCAAGAACAGAAAAAGTATGAGGGAATCATTGAATCACTCACTCAAACATTTGTTTAAAGATGCTCATTCTTTCAGGAAGTAAACATTGTTTGCAGCAGATTGATTCGACGCTGACTTCATTTGGAAATATTTATGTTGGCAGAGCAAAGAACACAATGTAACTAGCAATACTGTCTCTAAAATGTGTTTACCTTGTATTAAGTTACACATTAATTGTTCACTGAACTGATGTATACAAGCAATATCTCTATTGGAATTGTTCACTGCATCTCTCCGAGTGTCTGCATTCATGGCCATATCAACATGCAAAGTTGATTCTGCTTTTGGAACTATTTTGCTGGCAGAACAAAATGAAACAAAACAGTCGGTAATATTATCATAAATACTTGACATAGAGTGCTACAGGAATTACGTATTTTGCAGGCAAATAATGATAGTAATAATAATAATAATAATAATAATAATAATAGTAGCATTTCAGCATCTTTGGTTCCATCATCCTGAAGTCAATGTTTTTTTTGTTTTTTGTTTTTTTAATGGGCTTTTGGTTAAATGCCTGAAATTTGGTCTGTGGTTAACACATATTCAAGATATTTCACATTCTATATTAAATTATTTTTTACTTGTCTTGAAAAAAGCTAAATTGGACTACAGAGGTTGTCGGAGACATTAAACATCCTTACAATGAACAGGTAGACTCATCTAACTTGTGTTCATTTGTGATTATCATGATAAACAAAATGTTTAAAAATCACAAACTTTTGTTAGTCACAGAGCTAATTGTCTGCAGTAATCCTAAAGAAAAAATCCTATTGGGTTTTTGTAAAGGGGAACCAGTGTGATGCTAACTTTGAGGTTGGCCTTCAAAAATACTGTACATCATCACTGCAGCACTCTATTAACTTCTTGTTTGCAGAGCTGTTCAATATCACTCTTGCAATTTTGCTGTTGTACTGACAGAATCTGATTTATAAACTTCATTTTAGTTTCATTTTCAAAGAATATACTGTACAGAAAAGAGGAAATACTTGTGAACTCACTGAGTGAGTGCTTGAGTAATCTTGTGTTAGACCAGATGTGTGAGAGCTACAGTAGTTGCCTGAAGTCTCCCCTCCAGATGATATAGCTGTGAAGGCCAGAGAATGGCATAAGAAGATTTGTACCTTGAGCCAAGTTCTTAACCCTCCTAAACGCCTGTGTGTGTTGTGTGTTGGGAGAAAAGGTTTATTTAAAGGGGTCATATGATGCTGCTAAAAAGAACATTATTTTGTGTATTTGGTGTAATGAAATGTGTTTATGCGGTTTAAAGTTCAAAAAACAGGACGTGGCTGCAGCGTCAACAATACTACAGCGAGAATAAAAGTTACGCCGCCTTTGTTTGCGTGAACATTTGGGCGGCGTTATGCAAATCTTCCCAGATCGTGACGTAGGTATGTGGGGGCGTGTTAGAACGAGCCGTTTTAGGAGGGTGTGGTTAACTCTTAACTTTTATAAAGAATATCTCTTTGGTTTTGAGACTTTAGTGTTTGCAACTTTACAGATCTTCTTTATGCACAAAAATTTATAAAAATTTAAATCGCATCATATGACCCCTTTAAGTAAAGGCTCTAATTATAGCCTTGAGTATTATCAGTGTAGATACGCCACACAGTCAGTCAGCTTTATTTTTTTATGATCAAAGATTACAAATATTTTTCACAGTACCTGCAGTAAAGTATTTCTAAGGCATTGCTTAGACTTCTCAAGGTCTGTTTGGCAGGTATTGATCTAAACACTAAAACTTTTTTTTTTACATGTTCACATTACAGGAATAGTTCGCACAAAAATGAGAATTTGTGGGAGATTTACTCACACTCAGGCTGCCCAAAATGGAGTTTGTTTTTGCAGCGAAACTTTTTTAAGAAATGTAGCATTACATCACTTGCTCACCAATGGATGCTCTGCAGTGAATGGGTGCCGTCAGAATGAGAGTCCAAACAGCTGATGAAAACATCACAATAATCCACAAGTAATCCACACCACTCCAGTCCATCGATTAACATCATATGAAGACAAAAGCTGCATGTTTGTTAGAAATAAATCCATTATTATTAAGACGTTTTTAACTTTAAACTCTTGCTTCCTCTATCCATATCCATATTATCCATATTATGCTTTCTCAAGTGAAAACAGTTGTCTCATCTGAATCAGGAGAGAAATATGCACAGAACAAGAAAAAACAAGTCTAAAACCAAAAAATATGTCAGTGGATTTTGATATGAGAACAAGGGATGGACCTTTTCACTGGAGGAAGTGTTATTATGGATTATGGACTCATATTCTGGCAGTTAATACACATTACTGTTAAAACACCTTAATGATCGATTTGTTTCTTATAAACATGCAACTTTTGCCTTCACAAGATGTTAATTGTTGCAGTCGTGTGGATTATTGCGATGTTTTCATCAGCTGTTTGGACTCTCATTCTGACGGCACCCATTCACTGCAGAGGATCCATTACTGAGCAAGTGATGTAATGCTACATTTCTCCAAATCTGATTTCATAAAGAAACAAATTCATTTACATGACACACAGCTAGAAAATGTTGCTGAACATGACTGCTTTAGTCTGGTGAACTCTTTCTAACTCTTCTCATCTTGTCTTTTGATTTCAGGGCACAGAGGATCAAGTCTGGACAAAGACGGCATTCTATTTACCCTCAATTGAATGTGAGCTCTCGCTGACCTCCAATATTTAAAATGGGGTTGTCATGGAAACTGCTGGTGCTGCAATTATTCATGGGATGCCTTTCAGGTAGGCATCCTAATAACCTCATCTATAGACTTTCCTGTCTGTTTCTATGGCATACATTTGTCCTTGTCATTTACTATTAAGGGCAGACCTCCCATTCAGGGATGACTCCTATCTTCTGGAACCAATTAAAAGTTTCACTTTGTTTGTGAATGCTAAGGCCATCCAATTCTTCCGGATGGGCACAGCGATGAGGTGAGCAAAGACGTAATATGTGTGATAGTCAGGCCATGGGGTGGTGGTTTATATTCAATAATGTATATTACATAAATATAAAGTGGTCAAGATGACATGGTTATTAATGGAAAGTGGTGTTGTTTTCTTGGTAGTGCAGGTCATTGTGCTTTAACAGGAAAAAGACTGGAGAATAGGTGCTTTTGCATTTATGGCAGTGGTGAAAAAGTGCCAATATGTTCTCCTTGGCAATACTTTATTTCTGTCTGGAATTATGGGATTTGATGCTTGGGCTTTATACTCATCCATTTTTTGTAGAATGTACATTTGACATATTTTCGTTGTCACTGAACTATATGCCTCCTATACTCTGGGCATTATACCATGGCAGCAGACTTCTTGATTTAAAGACCGCCTTGCTTTGTGTCAAAGTTGGAGAAAAGATGTGATAATATGTAATTTAACCAGCCCTCTGAGAGACATTAAAAGGTTAATGTGCAAATGAATCTACCAGCCATTATTTTATTGGAGAACACAATTTATGTTCTCATTTAGCCAAGTGGAAGCACAAAAGCCCCTTTATTGATCTCTTTTTGATGAAGCAGTTACATTGTCTTTCAGTCACTGGGAGGGTCAGACTTAATTTTAAGTCTTTGATTTAAAAAGGGCTGTATACTCTTTTACATGATCTTCACTCCTGCTGTGTGTGATTTTCGAAAGCACTCTTCTCTCCGCTACCGGGTTGTTATGTTGTAGAATTATTCAGGAAAAAGGTTCAGCTCAATATAAACATTGTAGCCAGGCGTGTTGACCCAAAAGCAGGGCATGTTGTTACACTTTTATATTTGGGTTAAGACGTCATAATGGGAACCTGCGTTATTGGCTTTTTTTGCTAAATGAAAAGTAATCAGTTATGCACAAAAAACAATTTATTAAAATATTAATAAAACAAAGATATTGTTATTAATGTATTGCATATAAAACACACATAACCTCTAACACTATAAATTTACTTTCATTTTATAGTTGACTTGTCTGAATTTATGCAAAGTGTGGTTTTATTGTGTTTACACAACAGCTGAAGCATAAATCTTAGAACATTGGAGCTTTGAACTAGGTTTGAAAAACATACCCACCGCTAGAGAAAACATGCATTTATGTAATTGGATGTTTGATTGAAAACCTTTTTGCTACTAAGCTATAGCTCTTGTGACAACTAGCCTCAGTCTTCCTTATTTAAACAATAAGCTGAGAATCACCGGCTCGCTGGACGACCCTTGATTTAAAGTGTAAACCATTTAAAGTCAAAATCAGTTTTGATCAGGTGAACCTCGAATTCTCAGATCGAGTTCTTTTAAAACCTGAGCTAGAAATAAACCTGAATGAATTAATAATAATTAATTCCCTTACAACTGAGTTAAAATTCCTTACAGTAGTATATACTAGGGATGTGCATCTCCATAACTGAGGCAGATGCAATATGCATCTCAATGCATAGACAACGATACGATACATTAAAGATACATAAGAAGCAGCTACCGATGTGATGCAATACGATTCACCCCTATTACGATGCAGTGCGATCCGATTTCGATTTGATTCAACACAATGTGATTCAACGCAATACAATGCAATGGAAAAAAAGATGATGCTATGCAATTCAGTATGGTACAGAAAAGTTAGCTTTTATTTTTTTGGTTCAGACAGACAGCAAATCATAAATTAACTTAAGTGCCTTCTGACTTCTGATGCCTTGGTCTCCGAAGTGTTGTGATACGTCATATTCATGTAGCAGTGGTGGTGACGAGAGAATGCGCTTGAGAAACAGTGTAGAGAGGGGAAATCAATCTACGTATAAAATATTGGTCAAAAATTATTGGTCACTTTCCAAATAATAAAAGTATAGCACATCTACGATAATTATATATAAATAAATAGTTTTTTACCAATGCAAATATGTTAGAAACAATGCATCGCGATACGAATTCCTACTTGTATCCGATGCACACTTTTTTAAATCGATGCATCGCATCGTTAACTTTTATGCCGATGCACCGATGCGAATCGGTGAATCTTACCATCCCTTGTATATACTGTGGAGTAAGAGAAAACACAAGTATTTAAAGTATGCTCTATTGAATACTGATTTTCTTCGCATTAAAGGCACAATATGTAAGATTTTTTAATTAAAATATCCAAAAACCACTATAACAGTGTTACATATTTTGCTGACTTGTGTACTTACATTATCCCAAATGTTTCGAAGAATGTTTAAATCCAGAGAAATAAGCAATTTTAACTAGTGACACGGAGCGTGTCCATAGTGTCATTGTGTCGCCTGCCAATGACCCCTCGATTTCCAGTTTAGTTTTGTAGAAAACATGGAAACACCAAATACGCTTTCATATGTTGTGTGCTTTATTAGACCGGTGACGACCGCACAGAGTAGCATTATAACAGAACTTTCAAATGTATCTACTATGATAAAACAGCGCTTCTTTTTTCCCCCCACATATGCACGACCGGAAGGAGCGGAAGCGGTCGACTGTGGCATAATAAAAGCTCCGCTGCTTTCGAGCCGTGTGTCGCGCTCGTTCAGCGGCCTCGTTTCGCTTCGACGGCTTTCAGCCTCACCCTGCTTCATTCTACTACATTAATAAATCATTAGCTCATCCATGAACATGATTTCTGCCTGAGTTGCGTGGGGATGAAGACGACAACTCCCACAATTCCACACTCAGTTCACGGCGTCATCTAGAGGTCTACACGGGTCCAAAAATTCATACCCGAACCCTAAGAGACCCGTAAATGTGCTACACTGAACCGACCCGGACCCGTCTATTATTTTGAAAGTTGGACCCGGGCCCGTGCAGAACCGAGAAATGTCAAAAATGTACTACCCGGAACCGACACGGACCGTCAATTATTTGAAAGATGGACCCGAACCCGGCCGGGAAGACACAGACCCGACTGGACCCGATCGGCACATATTCCACAGCAAATTGCTATTAACCGTCATCAAACTACGCCTTTGCCTCTTTGTTTATTTTGAATACGCGCCCTCCAGCAGCGAAAATTACATATTGTGCCTTTGAATGTCATTTTTTTATTATAAAGTCTATTCAGAGAGACTTCTACCAGTGGTGTTCATGATTTCAAAATAACCGTTAATGTTTAATTGATACTGCTAAATCTTACAGCATTGTGAAATGGTAATGATATTCATCACTAATTACATTAACAGCAAACCCACTAGAAATTATTATTGGATACCTGTGTGATTTAATTGCCAGCACTCTATACACTCTTGAAAAAAAAAAATTACATCTAGATGTGAAAATAGACATGCTAAATGGCCACTAACTGCATTCATTTGCTTTGTCTCTTCAAAACTTGACTAAAAACCTGTGAACAATTACACCAGTTAAAGAGTTTTCTTAAAGAGAGAATCTTCTGAGCATATGGCGTCAGGTAATTGTAACTGTGGTAGAACATAATGGACGCAAGGATATAATTGTGCTTGATTAAATGTGCTTTGATTGAGGAGTAGAGGCACAAAACACAAACAGCACAATCAGAGAAAAGCACTAACATATCTGTAGTCCTGATTAATTCAGTTTAAATGCAAAACATATGGTTTGTTTCTCACCAGCTGCCAAACTGAATTAGATGCTGTATGATTTTTACCATTTTGGGAAGCTTATTCCCTCTTATTAATTTTCATCTGGGAGCAGATATATCAAAGAGGAAGACACTGGTGCGATGAAGGGAAATCTCATTTTGAACCTGTGAACACATGGGCACCACAGCTCAACGTGACATAAAAACATCTGGCAATGAATGTGCCGCGCTTAATTTTTTTAATTCACGGTTCTCAGATCTTCAGGGCTCATTGTGTGTGTGCATTTGTTTGTGTGGGTGAGTGCAGGTGTGTATTTTAACTTACTAAGATTGGCTTTTTCATTTGATGAATAAAAGACTTGAATCAGAATCAAACGGACTGGAGGGCACACGAACATCTAAACCCCTTCCCTCCCTCCCTCGCCCTGTGCGCCCTGTCTGTTTTCTGGATATTCATGCTGAGGTAAGCTGGCCGAATTCATCGGCTTGTCAGATGGTATTGAATTTGAGATTAGTTTTTATTTGGGCCTCCAAATTGCTCCTTGGCTTTTCCCTCCAGCTCCGGTGCTGCTCCAGGGGGGCTGCGCTGCCATATAAATTCTCCCCTCAGGTAGAGAGAAAGAGAGAGAGAGACCTGCTTTCTCCAACTTCCTTCATAATGACCTCCCTTTCCACCAAGGTGGGCTTTTGTGTTGTAAACCTCTTGTTAGTATTCTGTGCTGAACAGGGATAGATAATGTCTCAGCAACTGTGTGTTTCTTTGGACAGCTGTGGTCTGTTGTCAGAAATCACAGCACCAGTAAAGCAGGGTGCGAACTACTGGGGAGCTAGGGGGAGCTCGGCTCCCCTTAATAAGACATGGGCTCCCCTGAAAACGTGATTTGTGAAATTTTGGGGGGTCTCAAAAAATATTGACAATGTGTTACTTTGACGTGCAATTTCAGTTTTGTGTAATGTGATCATCGTGGATTATTATGTGTAAAATTGCAAAAATATCATTCATTCATGCATGACGGCGATTTAAACCTAATTCACTTCAATAAAGATAACTATACATGCTATTCTTGTCATGAGCATCGAGGTGTGGGGGCGCTGCGGTGCAAATTCCACTCATATTTAGTACATGTTAACTCAAAGATTCATAGAAAAAATATAAACGCTGGACTCTGTGGTCGATTCTGTGTTAAGGTAAGGCATGTTACTCGCAATTATGTGTTGTGGCTGGGTTGTTATAGGTCTGCGTGACTCTCGATGTCTTAGGCCTAATTGAACGGAGGAATTATGGTATTCTTCTGTAGCCTGACGAAGAGTAACTTTAACCGTTGTTCATGTGAACTCAAAGACAGCCTGATGCTTTGTTTATAGACTATTTGGGGGTGGCTGTTTGTTGTTTCCCCTATCAATTCGTGTCGATAAAGTATAATAGGGTAAATCCTGTATAGTGATTTATCCTATATAGTGCTTGCATAAAGCAAGTAGTGCATACACTTGTAGCTGTTATGTATCTTTGTAAGTCACTGTAAGCCCTCTTTTGAGGCACGCGCAAGCGCACGAACACCCCC